CAACCCACAGCTGTTTACATAAACCAAAAGTTTTCAAAAAGGCTTTTTTCCCCCTCCTTTAGAGCCTTCATTTCTACATCCAGCTACCTTTTAAAGATACAAATGTTTCCTGTATGACTGCCTTGTGTGAGACCTGACATTACAACTTTCCCAGACATTCCTTATAACATAGGAAGCTATAGGCAAAAGAATTAATAAAAAAGATGTCTAATAAAAATTCAATCCATACATTACCTGCACTTCTGCTGGGGGCTCGGCACACCATCCCATGGGCCACTGGCGAGGAGAGGGCTCCACCAGGCTCATGCCATGGGCACGAGGGGAACTCCAAGGATTGCGAGTCCCTCAGCAGCCCTGCACAGGCACCACAGCATCTATCCTTGCAGCCAGGACAGAGGAAAAAGGTGAAGTTATAAAAACCTACTGCTCACACTTTTTTTTAATGTAGTGAACAAATGAACAAAGTAGAATATGGAACAATAATAGCCCATGCAGTCCACGCTGCAACATCTGTGCTTTTCAAACAGTGCAGGGTGGGTTAATGAAACAAGTGCTTTCTGCCAGGCTTCTGACCTCTAGCTGGAAGCTTTTTTGCATTTTCATTTTTAACTAAGCAAGTTTCTCTATTATAAGCCATAGAAAAAAACCTTTCAATTAACATTGCTTCCTTAACCCACCTTGGTTTTCTCATGTTACATTGTGGAGGATAATATTTTTCAGAGTGAGACTAAGTCTAGAGCTTATATGAAAACTCCCAAGTATTACTGTTTTCTTTCTTACAAAGAACATCTGCCCTACGGGGTTTGTTCTCTCAGAATCCAAAAATTAAAAGTTGAAGTTGTCTTAAAAATGTGCTATCCCATAGATCCTTTGTTTCCAAAGCTTTGGAAGCATGGAGTGCCTGCTTGCAGGAAAGCTCATTTGTTTTGGTTAGGTTCATTTTGCTCTTAATTTGCACATTATTATATATTATAATAGATACAATGTAATTGCATTATATAATGCACATTATGTGTTAATTTGGCAGGCAGATAAGGCCAGCTTTAGAAGTGGGCAAAACTCCACAACCAAGGGGAAGGCCCACACACATGCTGCTGTGCAAGCAGGCGTGGCACCCGAAGTTGCTCCTGCAAAACACACACAGTTCTGCTCAGACCTACAGGCTTCCATCATGCCACCGGGAAGCTATTCCATTATTGAACTGGTACCAATCAACACTCAAATGTGTTAAGAAAATCAAACCCTGGACTTTGTGACCTTGAACATCAGAGAACCAGGAAGAAGGCTTAACTCCCATCTCAACCGCTGCAAAATATTTTACATTGTCTGGATGGTTCACAACAGACTGCGTGCAAATCTCAGATCCATGCTTCCCACTGTATGTAAGGCCATTTCAAGGACTCACACTCCCTTTTTCCTCTCCAGGAGGCTGTACAGAGCAGGGTTGCTTCAGGCTGCACCTACCCATGGGTCTTCAACTGGCTGTGCCGCTGCATGACCATCCTTGGAGACAAGGGCTGGTGCCAAAGCTGCTGTCAGGCAAATCCAGCACCCAGGGCACCATGGGACTGCAGGAACATTCCCTTGTGGACATTTGCAAAGCTTGTTCAATAGAAAGCCTCGCCTACTTGAAACTTCCTCTGTGTGCAAACCCTACCACTACATATATAACAGACAACAAAATAATCAATGTTCATGCAGATGCATGCCTCAGACTGATCATGGCAAGCATACTCAAGACAAAAGTCATTTTCTCCTCATTGTCCTCAACTGCTAGATGGGAGCATCTTTCACACTTGTGTTAGCCATCAGGACTGTGACTGCAGGAAGTTGTGCAAAGCTTCTCCTCAGTCTCCTCCCAGCAGGGCATTAGTGCCATGTTTCACACATGGCTGCAGAAGTCACACTGTGTAACATTATCTGATAACATGCAATTAATGACAACAGCTGCAAATGAATGTACCTTGCATCATCACATAGTGCTTCACTTGGGAAAATTAAATTTAATTGAAGCTTTAATTGAGCCTTTAAATAATACAGCAGTTATAGCTACATTTTAGCTAGTAACACATTCCTTAACAATTCAGCGTGCTCTGCTCAATAGGAAAAAGATTTAAAGCTTCTAAAATGATATACAACCCCAATTAAAAATACATATACATATGTAAAAGTACAGATATGACATACATTGTCCCCTGCAGCCTTTGGCCATCTGCATATAAACTACACATTGCTACTTTAGCCAACATCCCCAACTAAGTATACATACACACTGTTGCTACATAATTTCTCAGCTCAAGAGCTTCCTCTAAAGCTATTAGAGATTACTAACTTCTAGAGTTCCCAGCCCTAAGCCACATGTGGACACACCTCCAATTCCCCGTTTGTGGCTAGGAGCTTTAGGAAAGAGGTACTAAGTATATACACGAGTAATCTGGTTTTTTCCTGTATATATTGCTCATTGCATCCAGTAGGACATCACAACAAGACTGCTGTCCGGTCCCCTTGCAGTAAGCCACCTTGCGTCCATCTCACTTTCATTCTAAGCAATAAGCTGCACTAGAGCCTGACCATACCTAACTATATCTGATCTATCCTCCTTCCCATGCCCAATTTCCAGATCTCCTTATTGCGATTCACAAGGCCTAGCCACATGCATAATGTTATTCAATGGGAATTCTTGAGACTAGATAATATATGGATATGCAAAAATCATCACACATTTGAGTTTCCTAATGAGAGCAGAGCTTTCCTAATAAGCCTATTTTTGGTCTAGATATTTATAACTGTCCCACAGTAAGTTGAAAAGAAGGGATAGTTTATAAATTCATCCAGTATTTGCATAAAACATGCGGCTAAAATTAACACTGTCAAGTCCATAATAACATTATGGCAAAAAAAACGTTTTATAGCTAATGGAAAGCAAATAGCAGCTGCTTAGGGTATGAAACAGCCTCGTGCTACCCCCTTGCTCCACCACACATCCAACAGCACAGCAAGAGCAGCAACTGCTGTCCCTTGGGACCTCTGATCAATAGGATGAGTCGAGCCCTTTGCAGCCAGAGCATCACTTTCCTCTTGGCAGAGCAGTTTTAGTGAAGAAGCAGAAAAGAAAGAAGTACTTGTTCCTGAAGCAGCAGGTGGCAAACAACTCTGAGGAAAGAAGTCCCTTTCACAAGTATCTGGACACTTCATTCTCCTACCATCAGGATTTTTCCTCATTTCCAGTGATCTGGCACCAAAAACCTCCACAAGGGGCCACAAGTTAAATGGTCCAATTGCTGTCTAAAATATCATTTTTCCAAGGGAAAAATATTAAGGTATAAAAGTTGACTCTCACTAAGACATTTGTGTACACACATATATATGCGCACACATTAGAGAGCTTCCACTCTGCTCCTCTCCATGTATTCAAGGTCTGCTGGGGCAGAAACTGGGACTCCCTACAGCATGGGGGAAAACTGGCCTGATACAACATACAGGTTGAGTTTGTATCCTGATACCACCCCCAAGACTGGAAAGATGGCTCAGAAGCACTCAAATGGCAGGACACCCTGCACAGACAAAATTACAGTTTGTTGCAGATGAAAAATATCTGTGTTTAGCTCAGTTTCAGGTAAAGCAGATAAACATATTTCCTTCCATGTACAGAAGAGATGTTGGAGAACGTTTTATTTCTCTATAAGAGAATCCTTGCCCCACATGATACACTAAGATATTACATTATCTGCCATTGAACAATTTAAGTTTCAGGTGTCTACTTAGCCATAATTTGCACGAGATTTTTGAAGAGGAATGACAAGACACAGGTGGACCGTGCATGTGTTTGCAAATGAGGATCTTCCACTCTGGGAAGCGCCTGGAGTCCAGCACTATCCTAGAGCAGAGCCACGCACTGGGCACAAGGAGGGCTGGCACCAAAGCCAGGAGCCTCACACCACAAACAAGCTTAGAAAAGGTTATCTTTAGTAATATTACTCTGTGACAGCCTATGCGTGAGAGATTGTGACAAAGGCCATGGAGGCTATGGTAGGAGGCAGAACATAGTTAGGTGACAATAACCCTACTTAATCAAATAGCAGTACAAAGGGCCAACAAGAGTCAGATGCAATTAAGTGAGATGTGCACTGAACAGCAGCGCTAACTCCTGCATTCCTGCAGACTCCCTGCCTGGGACACTAATGCAACCCTCCCGTCCTCTGCTCTTGCAGACGACCATCTCCACAGGGTCACACTAACCTGATTCACGTAGCACTTTATCACACTCCACGCACCCTACAAAGTACATCTCTTCTCAGCAGAAAGCTCTCTCTTTCACTACCCCTGAGGCCTCTCAGATCATACAAATCCCCAAATAAATTCAAAGCGAGACCATTGTACAGACCAGCTCCCCTCTTACCTGCAGAGATGCCACCAGGCTCAGCAGCCACCTAGGAAGCCCCAGCCAGACAAGACCCCCGTAGTCCCACCTGGACACAACAAGGCAGGAACCTGCCTCCCCTCCCTCCTCTTATGCTCTCCTAGGACTTTCTCATCAGCCCAATTCCCTGCAGCTGTGGTGGGTGTTAGACATGTGTTAATCCACCTCCTGCTGCTCGCTGCTCCCCAGGATGGGGCTGGTGGCTGAAAGATCTTGGCCAGGTGCTCTTTAAATGCTAAGAGGGCATTAGTGGAACAGGAGCTCACTGAAGTGTTGTGCCTGGAGCTGCATGAAGCTTTGCTGTCAGGAGTTCGTCCCATGTCCCTTTTATCTCAGATTTCTTTTGGCATCGCACCCCACGGCTGATTAGCCAGGAATAGTGCTGGGAGGGAGGGGAGGACGTCAGTGGAAATTGTGGCAGGAAAACCATTAAAGAGACGAGACTGTGCAGCCCAAATTCTCCCGTTTACATTCCTTGATTTCCATGGGCATTAACAGGGGGAAAATGTGGCCTGCCTCCTTGAGCTCGATGCTGCTTTAACCCCAGAACATGCAAAACTTTTTTTCTCTGTTCTATTACTGTTGGGTAAACAGCCCCTGGCAGCAAACCGGTGAAAGAGCCGGAAAGGTCCACCCTGACATCCGAATCGGTGACTGCGAGTCTCCCGCATCGCGGCCAGGCGACGCGGTGGGACCAGCGAGCCGCGCTGTGGCAAACGCAGGCGGTTATATCTACCGTGGCTGTGCGCTCCCCTGCCCCGGTGGGAAGCTGGTGCTTCGGGACGGCTGGCTTCATCCCTAGCAAAATCCAAGGAACCGGATGCTGTCGCGGGCAGGTTGTCCAGGAGCCCCGCGGGACGGATGAGGCACCTTCCCTTTCGGGCCGCTGGCGCTGATGCTTACGACCGAATAGGGCATTATTCTGTAGTTACAGCACGTTAACGCGCCGCAAAAGATGAACCGCAGCTGAGAAACGAGAAACATGTCTTTTCCTTCGCAATCTGTGGTGCGAGATCTGACGGTGCCGCTGCTGATGGCCGCCCAAGGCGGGGAAGGATCCTGGCGCGTGGCCCTGCTCTCTGCCCTGCTGATGACTTGGGGGGAGCGTTTTACTTGCTTGAGTGCACTAACTGACACAGGAAAAAAAAAAAAAAAAAGAGTAGTTTACTAAGAAATTTTGAAATGCTCCTTTCGTGAGCGAATCGCCACCTGCCGAGCCCTTGCTCGGCTGCGAATGCACCTGCGTCGCCCAGAAGTCCCCGGGTGGGACTGGTGCCTCATCAGGACATTAAATATGTAACCAGCTAACTGTGAAATTCAAAGAACGCTTTCAGGACACATAGACAAAAAAGGCCTAGCGAGCAGGCCGAGTCCTAGACGAGGAGTTCATATTCATGGCAACGACCTACCCCAGTAGCTTCAGTAATCTTACAAGGCAGCCTGTTTAATTAACATTTGTTTTAAATTAATATGCATTAAATTAGAATATTCAAACCTATTCTATGCAGTCATGTTTTTTGAAAAGATCATGTATTTTCCATTCAGAAAAGCATTATTTTTTTCAGGGGGAAAGTGGCTGCCCTTTAACAGGGTCCCGTTGCTCTGGGTGTCCAGGAGAGTGTGAAACGCTGCCGCGACCACGGCATAAATCTGGCTTACAGCAGCACTGGCTGTCGTGTCTTCAGGGCACGGCACGATACAATTTTCTGCTCATATGTGCTAGATTTGGTCTTTTTTGTTATTTCAGTGAAAAGGAAATTACTTGGATGTTTGCTTGTTCCTGTTATTTTAACTAGGAAACTACACGCTCCTCTAAAACTGATATAAAAATGGCTTTAAGTGTGTAACAGGATAGTACACTCAGGATTGTCTGTCCTGAAAATAGTCATTTTAAATAACTAACTTAAGACACTTGAAGATTTTTGCCTTTCAATCAAAGCATTGCATCTCAGTCTGTGAGTTTTGAGTCTACTGTAGTAGCAGGTAGCTGCCAAAATTACTCAAAATGACCCAGGTGAGCAAATGCCTGTGCAGACTCAGGTTGTCTCCTTCTTTTATTCCCATAAGTGGTCAGGAAAAAAAAAAGAGCCACATGATTTTCTAAAAGAAGAGCCTGCTCATAAACCAGCATTGCAATGCTCCGGCCAAGGGAGCAGAGCCACCGAATCGTCCGTTCTCGCTCTTCCCTCTCTTACATCACTGACGTTTCAAAAGACATTTTTCAATATTTTTCTCTAGGCTTATGAAACAAAATCAGTAGCTTTCATCTGAATTGTGCATGCAAGTAGTAAATCCAATTATTCCCTATTGTTGCAAGCGGAGACTACATTTTCTATTTTGTTTTTTTTTTCTTTTCCCTCCTCCCTTGGTTTAGGAGCCACTCGCCTATGTATTTCTGCAAAATGAGTAATTTATATCAAAATACACTTCCTCCAGTAATTACTTTGGTTTTGTGTTTTCCGGTTTTGTAATACAGTGAATATTCTCACTGCAGATGTAGTGTTTCCATTTTAATTCTTAAAAGGAAGGAAACTGGTTAAGCATTGTAAAGTCTTGTCCTGTGCTTTCAGAATTGGAAAATAAATGAAGTGAGTCCCATTTCAGAAGTTTTTTCAGATATTCCCCAAGGCAAAATTTCTAGGCTGCAGCAGTCAGGTCGTGACAAGCATGAACAGTGTCATACATATATACATATATCTTAGGTTTTGACGTTTGAAGTCATCCCAGCAGAAGTCCTCTTAATTTTATATGTTGCATTAATTCCGAGTAAAGTGTGCACATTATGGCTCGAGTCTGCTGAGTCAGCAGTATGTGCCTTTTTTTCTACTTTTATCATTATTCCTTTATGGTTTCACAAAAATCGACTCTTGTTATAACTCAGCCGCCCTGAGTGAAACCGTGCAATTTGGCACGGAGTCCTGCTTTATCGTGCTCTCCAAATCCACCTCTTCCTGCAAGTGGGTGTCTTTCATTACGGCTGACATTAATACTGAATGAACGAACAGCTGCTTCTTGCTAATGCGCGGCAGAAGGAAACCCACCTCGGCGGCCGCGGCTCCCGGCTTGGCAGCGCGCCTGCCGAAACCTTGCAGGAGGGTCTGCCTCTGCAGAAGCAGCGGGCTGCAGCGGGCTCAGGCCCCTCTTGAGCTGCTGCGGCGACATCTCATGCGCCCACAGTGTATTTCCAGCCGGGAAAAGCCTTAAAACGTGTTCATTTAATGCGTTTGCCCTACTTTAATAGTTAACTATATCCTTTTAAAAGTAGCAGTAAATTTCTATTTCATCATGGCATAAATAACCCAGTGCCTGAAAACGTCGAGTATTCTCCCCATCCTCCTATGTGCAAGATTAGAACATGATAAAGAAGTAGCAGGTAAAGAAAGAAAAATACTTCTTATATTACAAAACATAACAATAAGAAAAAAATAATAAATTTCCCCGCTCCAGCGAGTCCCTGGAGCAAAGGGCGATCAGAGCCCCCGGGCACCGGGCAGCCCCAGCCCTGCCCTCGGCCCTCCAGGCAAGGCGCTCCCGGCAGAGTCCCCGGCTGCTCGCCCCAGGAGGTCCCAGGCATCTCCAGAATCACCAGCCAGCTCACGATACGCTAACAAATATAACGGGAAGGATCAGTATAATTAACCAATGCAAAAGTAGCTAGCAATTACAGTATACATACTTTTGCATATTAATTATATGTACAAGGGTGTTTGCAGAAAAGGTTTTATGCATTTTTGCATAAAAGTAGTATTTTTGAGGGTGGTTTTTTTTTTTTGCAGAACATTTGTTTAGAAGACTCCCTAATTTGTAGAGTTTTATTATAGCTGAACCCCCTCAAATAGGTTTTCCCACAGACATTAAATATATGCACGTTCTTTCCCCGTTTGCTGTATGCTTTGCTTTTTCTTAACCCAAGTTTCGCCAGCTTTTTGAGGAGCAGCATTTGAAATCAGTGTTTCAGGCTAGGATGACTGTGATGAGTCTACGTAAAGAAGACAGGGCATAATCAGACTGCTTTTTTCCAGTGGGCACAGAGTGATGCGAAGTTACGGTCACAGAAGAGGGCCCTGGGGGTCCCGGGAGCTTTAGCCTTTTTCCTATATTCCTAAGGAGCATTCTTGATCGGAAATGTGCAGTTTTCATAACTTCATTAATATGAACGGTGCTTGTTCCTTGAAGTTCAGATCACCAGCAGTAGCCTGTTACAATATGTCTTGTGGTCAGAGAACATTTGTTTTAAGGGTAAGGTTCCAGTTAACCAGACTTACATGGGCGACTGATATTAAATATAGGTAAAATGCTGACTCGATTATTTTAAATAAATGAAAGATTCAAAACAAGTGTGCAAACAGTATATTGTGTGCAGCATCCGACTGAACCTCAGGAACGCCGTTTGCAGTGCACTCAAAATAAAAAGCAGGGGATGGAGATCCGAAGCCGGAGGGGAGGTCGGCGGAGGGCGGCTGCCCGGCAGCCCCCCAGCCATGAAACAGCGCTTTCTGACACGATCTGCAAGAGATGAAGAAACTCAGCCAACACCCTCTTTCACAAGAGCATAACTGCAAAGTTTGTGACATGGGAGTTCAGTGGTTTTTGCAGCGTTAGAGTTTTCCTTTAACTATGGAAACATTTCCCCAGGACCGTTTTCCTGTCTAAAGCAAACTAGAGGTGTCAAGTAAAGCTTAGAAAATTTCTTCTGGGGAACAATGACTTAATTTCTAGCTCATTTTCATAATTGACATTTACTGTTCAACATGTGGGAGATACAGGGCTTGTGTTCACTTTATCTTTACTTCAAGCATATTTGATGATGTTACTTAACAAGCAATTCAGGTGAGATTTTGTTTTGGGGGAGGAGACATAAATTTTGGGACAGAAATGGAACTATGTATTAGCATGACTTAGTTACGATATGCAAAAGGTCTTTGAAATACTGTCTCCGAAATTTAAAAAACAATTTCAGATAACTTTGAAATACAAACTATAGTAGGTTTTGTTTATCCATTTTGGTTTACTAAAACATTGTGGAAACAGTTTTTCTTATTTAAATATTATGGGGCAATGCGAGCTGGTGCACTCTGAATACAAAGTCGGGAATTACTTAGATGAGAACAATCGTTGCAAAAAACATCTGTGTTTGTTAACTATGGGTGCAGTCTAGTAAACACATTTTTTGCCTTTATTTGGAATTCATTAAAATATTTCTGCTTCAAAGTAAACATTAAAGCCATTTCTGAGCTTTTTCTTTTTGCATTTACCCAGTTAGATTCAATCTGTATTAGGATATTCTGAACAACTGCTGTTTTAAGAGACTGCACTTTTTTCCAAGTTACTGATGCAGTTCAAAGACACGAGCTGTCCTTAAAGGCCAGTCTTGCATGATCTTGGATCGTTGCTGTGATCTAAGGTTATATTGTTATGTTATGTGGGAACCTTTCGATTCTGAGAGACCACGGGAGCCTATTTGCTACGGAGAAAGAATGTTGATGTTCATCCAAATCAGTTACACATCAAAGATGCTTTTAAAAGGAGAATTATTAATGTTTGCGACAGCTGATAAAACACACACACACACACACACAAATATCTGATGGAAATGCCTAAATCATTTAAAAGTTTTTGTGGTTGGAGACATTCTATGTATGTTAAATGTAAATGCCTGTGTGAGGAGCAG